TGCAAGTTTGGGATTAATACTGTTTTGCCTAAACATTGTAAAAATATTTATAGATTTAAACACGCAACATAATGTTATTGTCAAAACCAAGAGAACATGGAAATGCTATCCAAATTATAATAGCACAATGTGATTGGAGAAAAAATTGAACCAGCATTTTCTGTTGATGTGATTTGATATTTTACCAAAATAATTTTTTTTTTTTTTTTAATCTGGCTTATAATAGCATGGTATTTAATAACACTATATTGTACTTGTATCAATTAACAGAATATAAACTAATTTCTTAACCAGAATTTTTTATATAGTGCTACTAAACCTATATGCAAATAACTATACTCATTAAAAGCTTTTCTTGTGTCATATCCTAAAGTATGGAGGGTAAAGGTCAGAATCATTAGCCCTAAGATGATAGCCTATAATATGTGGGATGGATCCAGAGAGGTGCAAAACGTCACCCTAAATTTTATAACATAATTTTTGTGTGTTTTTGTATTGTGAAATTTTTGGCATAAAATAATAAATAAATTTAATCAAATCTGATTCCCTCACTTAGCCGATCCATTCAACTTGGCCAGTATCACGAATTACAAATCACGTCTAAATGTATTAGTTTTTCCATATTTGTTACGAAATGTCACCATATTATTAATGTTATGAGTGTAAGTAGTATTATTTTGTCTTCCAATACAAAATTAGGTTTCAAGTTATATAATTTAGGAATCGGTACTCAAATTTGGTTAAATGGTGCAGAAAGCCATCCGCCATGTAAATTCTTGAGTGGTCAACTTTGCAAAGTTTAATTTAAGCTTGATGGACTTACGAAATTAAAGATTAATGTACTTTACTTAATGAGAATTGAAATATGGCTCTTCCCCTGGACCCTGCTGAGTGCTTTTAGCAGAAGCCCTCACTTTTTCCAGCATTCAGACTACCCTAACCACATATTACAATATTTAAATATATGCTTCAACAATCAAAAGTTATATATAATACATCAGGGTAATATTCAAATATATGCGTCAACAATCAAAATTTATAATACATCAGGGATATAGAAGAACTTGCCAATCTGTAAAAACAACAGATTTGTTAATTCACAATGGTCAAGAAAAATGTGGTGATATATTCACAACATACAGTAAACTAAATCACATGTTTGGATGTGATTTAGTCTGATTTATGTAACATTTTTTGTGCACACAGAAACCAAATTTGAAAATGAAATTGTGAAATTAAATGACTATCCAGAGACAATTATAGTAATAGACAATTAATTTCCAGACATTCTATAAATTAAATTTCTAATACATTAATTATCTTGATAGACCAACAATGCTATTTTTGTGCATTTGCAGAGCTATAAATGTATATGTTGATGGAATCATGGTTAAGGTGCCAGACCTTCATATTTTCCAAGTTAATTGGTTCATTTTAGTCACATATTTGAACAACTCACTGTGACTCTCTAAATTTTATGACATGGTTCGATCGACCTTATATCAATGGTTATTTTTAATTAAATTATGAAGACCATGGTCATTTGTGATATATTTATCTTTTTGTTTTAAAACATTGTCTTCCAAAAGAATAAATTAAATGTTTTCATATTTGTCAAATTTGAAATTTTGACTGGGCCTGTGGGGACCCAAGGCAGAGTGCATAGTGCAGTACCAGTTATTCATGTAATAGATACATTGTCTCTTACCCACCTAACTCTCATGTGCGTGTTATACGAGAAGCTGTAACTGACGCCATCCTGGTTTGAAATAGGGTCTTTGTCACAAGAAATGGAAACATTACCTCTGAGCCAAATATTTAGCTATTTAGTTATTGAGTGTCTCCAAAATTATTGGTTTTCTAGATAACTTGTACAAATTTGTATTTAATCATTGTAAAGGTTAATTTTATATGGTTGTCTTTTTGTACCTACTGTTTCATGTTTTAAATGGCATATAGATGCTATCATCATAAACTATTTCAATATGTAAATAATGTTTATTAAGGAGTATCATGTTCATGCGAACGTGTTGCCATATAAATGGCATATGTTTGTTTAATCTTGCATCACACTCAAATTCTACAAAACTTACCATCAATTTTTTATATTAAATTTAATTATTAATGTGTTTAAAAGGTGTTTATTTATAATTGATGTATGGATTGAAAATGTTTTAGTACTTTACTTAAATTACATGCTTACATCACATTCTAGTCCTTTATAAAGTACATATATTCCATTGTATATTTTATGTGATGTATATATTAATATTTATCATTATATTTAGATTTATAGTTTTCTATATTCACTATTGTTAATTCAGTAATTTATGAGAGAGACTGTCTTGTAAAATGTATAAATCTTTTAATTGAAAATGAAAGAGTTTAATACATTTCTCAGGATTTACAAGAAAGGGGTGCTGACCTTGTAAATCTCCTACTTCTGATTATCATATGGGTTGTTAGACTTACCGTTAAAGCTGTTGGCCCCTGGATATGCCACATAGCATGATCACTTTGCGATTATTGTTGTTTTAATGGAAGATGTTGCGCATGTCCCCACTATTGTCATCGTCAAATCATCTTGTAATCATGTGTGATCTAGCAGGTAGAACACCCATCTGCATGTTTTACTCTCCATGTTTAGTGTGTGGATCATTTAGCATCATTTACAGGGTAAAGAAAAACTAACGCATGCCTTCATCATCATGTTGGGTACTACATTTAGTAGAATTGGCAATAGGAAAGGAAAGAACAAACATTGATTTAAAACTCAATTTTATCCTCTCTTGCAGTCGGACTGTAGTATGATGCTTGCCCTAAAATTTTAAATGCCTGCACTTGTGCATAAAGCCGGGTTTCCATAAAATTGCTAAATGTTTTTGCTGACAGGTTTTGAGTAAGCCTTCCTAATTGTGTCGGGCAGTGTAACAATTGCAATGAAAGCAATGCAGTGACATTGTAGCAATTTTATGGAAACCCAGCTTAACATGTGATTACACTAGGAAAACATTCCTCTTAGTTACACTTTATAATGAGAGCACATTATGCCATCTTGCAATTGGTAAGTGTACAGTTAGATTGGAATATGTGAATAAACAAATGAAGATACAAGCAAGCAATTCTTATTCTTATTCTCTATTGGCAATCCAGACATGGATGGCAGGCAGGGCCAGGTCTCTAAGTAAACTTATTACTATAACATATGTCAGAGAACCACTCTCATCCAGTAATTACAAACAATTATATATCATTAAAATTTAATATAAAACACAAAAATATACATCACGCAAAAAGTAAAGAAAAATAAAATCAGTAAAATAAAAGAGAGAACCAACAAGGCAAAAGAATAAATTATCATTAAAATCATTATCATCATCACAAATTGAGTATTTTCAAGTCCGAATGCATATGTCAAAGGTCAAGGATTATAAACAATGGCGAAGCAAATATTGAATTATAAAATATTAACAATGCAAATGTCTATGGGATTCAGTAGTTAAATATACTACAATACAGTAGATCTTCAATAAGAAATGCTGATAACTTGTTTATATGCCTTGAACTTTGACATTGACATACAATTAAAACTATAAGATGGCTAATATAATGTATTTAATAATAAAGTATAAATGTGCTAGAGCAGTGTAAACTATAATTCTGTGTTTAAAATGATTCCAAGCTCAGGCCGCAATTTATTTTTCATTTTAAATACATTAAATTGAAATGTTTTAAAAATGTATGTTCGTTCTTTCCTATTTTGCCACATAGTTCAAAAGTTACTGACTAAATAATTTCATATTTTTAATTTAGAATTTGTATGTGTAGAAATATGTATGTTATTTAATGTACCTTTTGTATTTAGTTAAATAAGTTACTTACTAAGCATGAATGAATTTATACTTGCATTCTAATAATGAAACATGAATATCCATGTTCTAATACGTGAAGTATTTCAAATGCAGATGTGTTAACCATAAAAAAAGAGTAAGGTTTGGTATATTTCATTAAGGAACTCTTTTTTGAATTAACTTTTGGCTTTTGATGTTTAACAAAGCCTAATTTGTATAATGTTTGTGTCATCTGTTGTATTTGAATATGCTGTTAAATCAAATTAATGACAGTTATTTTTATTATTAAGTAAAAAGTAAACACATCACAATTCAACTTCCGAGAATTTCAATAACATTTTTATTGTTATTATTGGAATAAGATTTATTTTTTACAATAACACATTCCTTTTATAAATACAACAATATGGTGTACCAACTATACCTATGCAGTGTTTAATAACAACTGTGTGCTATTAATTACAGCTGCTAATATGGCTGTTTACTTCATAAACAGAGAAAAGCAATAAACCAACAATGTTTATTATTCTGAATATATTATCATTGAAATTTGGTTTAACATTAATCAATTACAACATCTGTTTAGTTATTACAACATGCAAAAAAGTATGGTTTGTTGATTAACCAATATATAACAAAAGCGATATATAATTATTACAATATCGATTTAAATTAACATACTTTATATTAAAATAATTATTACTGATGTTACTGCAATTATAAGTAGGAATAAACATGATGACTACTTTTATAAATACTACCAACATAATAATGAATAGTTAAGGGTAAATTAAAATGATAAAGTAATGCTATAAATTTTTAAACAATGATTGGTAATATTAATAGTATAATAATCATAATTAATCACAATCATAATAGTGATAAATATAATAAAAATATCAACATGCATTATGGAATAACAAAATGATATCAGATTATATTATACAATAATTTTGTGTATTTTCTTATAAAATATTAGTTACATCAAGTTTTCACGAAGTTTATCCATGGCTAAACTAAATGCCAGTCAACCAAAACTGAAACTTAGTTGACATTCCAAAATGCATCCATATCACATTCAAGCCCCTTGACTACAATAAATTTTAAATGGATGATTAATTGTAATTTAATTTTCTCTCATTTTGACAGGTAAAGATGAGTCTTTTTATGAAAATTACACATTTGATGACATCTTCCGGAATGAAAGCTTTCAGATTAAGAAGTTTAAGTTGTCATGGTTACAAGAAGAGGGTTATGGTAAGGAAAATGTATCAGGAAGAAAATTTAAATAATTAATACATTATTCAAATATTCAAGAGATAAATCTCTTAAACAGATTATGAGGGTGTGGAGTAGGATAGAGGGTGGTTGATTGATGCTGTTTTTGCTAAAATTTATGTAGGATATACTATAAAGTCATTTAGAAATTAAAATTGGCTGCTATTACTAAATGATATTATTTGTTTGTTTTTTTGTTTAATTATTGAGATGCATTTCAATTCTTGTATGTTTTAATTGCACATATTATAATTAAGGTGTTTGCCTTCTAATCCCTCGGTTCAATCTTGTCAAAAAGTCAGAATCTTCAGGCCCACAACTACGTAAGGCCTAAGGAACTTGGTAGAGGACCAGAAGCTTTAAAGCATGTCTTGTAATGTAATATAATCGGGGTTCACTTAAAAAGGGGCTTAGCCATGTCATAGAACTCACCTGGATACAGGATTGATGTTTGTCAACCCAAAACTACTACACTTTCTAATTCCTAATTCTCTATACAACTTGCAAGTTTCATAGACTTGGTATAGAACTTTCAAAAAAGGGACCAGCTTATGATGGGAAAACATGCTTGGGAATGATATTACTATTTTAATTTATTTTATTACGAAAATTATTTTTTGTGAGTGTATTATTGTTTTTATTATTATGCTAATGACTGTTTTACATATTTCATTATATTTATTATTATGCTAATGACTGTTTTACATATTGCATTATATTTTCATTCGATATGTAGATACTACATTCATTTATCAAGATGTGAATGGTAACATAATGATAGGCAATGCCAACTCAACTCCAGGCTATCAGGTCATGGACAACAGAACATTGGTATGTTAGAAATCTTGGGTTCTAGTCTCAGTGAGTTTAATACTTGTGTATGCAATTGGTGTGTACATTTGAAACTACTGTGCATACACATACAATTATGAGTGCAGATCTCTATATTAGGTTTTCAAATATCTGTTTACCCTTATATTTTGAGTATCGTTTGTTATTGATTCATTCATAACTTTTCACTGATTGGGTTTTAATCCTCATAAGATGATGATTTTTCTATATAGATTTTTAAAAAAATTATCCTTTTCCTCTGATTCTCTTTGTATAAACCTATGACAGTCCTATCTATAATATTCTATCCATCAGGCTAGCATTGTTTCTGTAGGGACTTTAATCTGTCTGGCTTCTATTTTCTCTCTACAATTTATCTATGTCCTCACAGCCATTCCCATCGACCAGTATTCATAATTTAATTGATAGACCAAATATTTCTCTAATGCACCTTGCCAATGCCACTACTGTACTCATAGCCATGCGTTTCTCCTATTTTTCTTTCTTTACTCAGCCTAAGAAGAGTAAACATTCTGCTAGGGTTGCTTCTTGTTTATTTTGCTGATAATTTACTAGTTTTCCATTATGAGGAATTAATCTTCCTGTTTGGGGAACATGCTTTTAAATGCCTTAATAATCAGAAACAGATAGAGGAATTATAAAGTTGCAGTGGCATATCTAGAAGTCTTAAAATGGGGGTGCTGATGGGGGGTGAGAAAGGTGAAGTAATTTTTGGAGGGGCGTGCACCCCTCCCCCCACGCACCCCCTAGATACGCCAATGTAAAGTTGATGACTAGGGGTTACAATTCATCGTCAAATATTGAAATACTCATGAGGCTTTGTAACCAGAACCGGTGACGAGTGTATTATGTTCTGGAAAGAAAATTTAATAAAGACACAGTGGTTGCCATAGAAAACGAGTAGATTATTCAGAATCTAATACATTTTTTGCTAAGATAGTGATGTAAAATTTATACTGTTAGAATATTTTTATAGCTTCAGCACTTATTAGTTGATTACTTGACTTTTACTTAGAAGCTATACATACCTAAATATTATTTAGTCGTCTTATTTTTTTAATTAATTTAATGTTATAAAAATAATATTTGTTTTCGGAGATTTTTTTCGGCGAGTGGGGGAGGTGGGGAGAAATGTTCTGCTTATTCTCATTCTATTTTTTTTTTCTGTTGCTTGGGCACATTGAGCAGATGTATAATTACAACTGGGTGAAAAACTCAAGTGATATTCTTGTTAGAAATTAGTCGGAGTATGGTGGGAGATTGTAAAAGCTAAGGCTACCCACCTTGATTTGACCCAGGCCAGAACAGGCTACAGCAGTGGAAGAGCACCTCCATGTGAATACGTCTAAACCAGCATTAAGAAAATTTTACTCAGTGACTTATGATTTAACGCTTAAAACTACTTGCATCATCAATGTAGGTATCAAGCCGTCAAGTAGCGGCTGATTGCAATGAATTTTTGGAATAAACAATAATAATTTAGCACATTTTAATCTCTCATTTATGACTTTTCAAATAGTTTGGTATAGAAGCATCAATGTTCTGGTTGAGTCCACGCATGGAGACCATGGCGGGTACGAATACGGAATTCATGTACTTGCTACTCGCATGCAAAGTTCAGAGGGTATTTCGACACAGTTTCAATGCAAAGTACAAAGTCTACAAGATATCGCTAGGCAATTACAACGCTGGTGAAGGTGATGAGGATGGGTAAGACATTTGGAACTCTTAAGTGTATTGACTGTTTTTTGTTTTTTTTCATGGATTGAGTAATTGGCGTTTGACGTTTGAATCCACTGTTCATCCTGCTTGAGTCCATATAAGGCATTTTATCACTATAGTCTAAACTGTCCGCCTGGGAGTTATAGCTGGTTGGAATTCCAATGCTTTAATTACTAGCTGCGACATTAATACGGAATACTCCCCTAGGGCCGTGTGTATGTATTTCATGAGCATGTTCCTAATGACTGGGGTAATAAACATTATTACAGTATGAATCTTTCAACAGCTAGTAGATACCCATTTTAATAATATGCTATATTAACATGTGCAACATTCTTTAGAGGTAACAATCGGCTGGTAGTTATATAAGTTTCTTTTTACATGGCATCGTCTTAAATTAATGTCGTAAAAACGGTGCTGTTGATATATTAACCACTTAGTGTAAACAAATGATGTCATACCTTTTAACGCAACTACTAAATGCCACAGCTAAACCTGTGATTATAATGTGTATACGAGAATGTACTTTTTTACGCTGTCAATAATTCGCATTGTCAAGCAGAGGCCCATTGTGATGGAAAATTATTGATACTGGTGAAGGGCTTTGGTTGGTATTTGATGCCGTAATATGTTTGCAATTTTAAATGTCAAGTCTGATCAGCGTAGTGTTTATTTCTAATGTTGGCATGTGGCTGTTGAGTGACGGACAGTGTATTGCTATACAATAATACACAGTAGATTATTATTATTTTATTTGGATTTGTGTGCACGATTGGATACAATACTAATACGTGTTATTGTATATATTCATTTGGATTTTACTAATGCTTCTTAGTTAATTAAATAATAATCTGATAACCCTGACTTATGCATGTAAATAAGGACCAATAATAGTTGTTGATAATGAAAAAACTTTCAGGTGTATAACTCACTCCATATTTTTTAACTTTATGCAAATATGCTTAAATGTCCACAATACCCCACCCTTACCCTGCCCTATATACCAGTATTAATATTTTACTATTTCTAATAACAGCATTATTTATAATGTTGCAATCACTTTTATATTTTGTATTTTTATCTCTCACCCTGACCTTCGCCATGGCGAACGGTGCGAAGGTCTGGATCCGCATGTGAATAACTAAATTCAAACTCGACTCCCTTCTTAAAGCCTAGTAGTGAAACTCCTTTTTGCAATTTGGTGAGAAACTGGCTGCTATAACTTATAAGAGAATGCATTTAAATTTAAACTGAAAGGAATTTATCTCCATTCTTGGTGGGAAATGTCATTAATAGTAAATAATTGAAATTGCAGCTGGTAATTTAGAATATTAATATTTATATTTTATCTTAATTATTTCAGAAAATTTGTGATGAATGTAGAGGTACCAGGGATGCTTACGGACGATTCTTTGCAACTTGTACAGTGGTCACCACATGGAAACTCATTGGTAAGGTTATTGTTTTCTACGTATAAAGTCTACTTGGCTTCCTATTCAGTCCTAGGTTCATATGATAATAAAAATAATAAGATCTTTCTTTTACAACGGAAGCTCGTTCACCAAGGAGGTGTTCTTCCACGAGGCCGTATACAGTATGTACCTTTAACATATGGTATCAGATCATGAAATCAACTACTTACAAATACAAATAATGGATAAGGAAGAAACAAAAATACCAAAAAATTTGCAAATCATTACTTATATCTTTTTGCAAGGAAATTTGATATTTTGGCTTTCTGCATCCATTGAGTAGTTATTTAAGCCTCTTTTCCACTAGCAAATTTATTCGCTCGAATCGAAAGCATTGGTTCATGCACATTCACATTCACATTTCTTTTAGAGTTTTGTGCATCAGCGAAATCAGTAGTTCAGACTGTTTTTTATTTTTGCGAAGCGAAAAATTGCTCAGGAAGCAAGCCAATGATTTTGAATCGTGCAAATCAATTCGCCTAGTGGAAAACAGACTTTTTTCAGTATGCATGCGTGCACTGAACCAAGGAGGTAATTGTGTATGGTTCAATTTTGTCAAGCTGATCTCCTCTTGAATGCACCCCTCTGCCTATGCCCCACCCTTGAATGTTGTTGCTAAGGTCTAAAAAACCACAGAACATGTACGCAAAAAAGTATGTTTGTGGGAAAACAAATGCCTTGTCCTATTCTGATTGGTCAGTCAGGTTTAATTGACACTTAGGAAGGGTTCTTTACAGGTTTAGCAAGATCCATCAGAAGAGATATTTACTCCGTTGGAACGGTGTACAATATGCCTCATGTGAATGTTGTTAAATAAAAGAAAACATCGGAGGATTGTCGTACAGTGGACCTGTTCTAATTTCCAAGTTACTTGGTTAAGACTTTAAAAATTACAGTTACAAATAATAATAATAATAATATTTGATACCAAACCAATATAGCCAAAGCCTTTTAAAAATAGTCTGTTGTTTTCTCAAACTTCTGTTTTTTCCAAGGTTACACATTTGCTTTGAGAGGCTATAGGGAATTAACTTGTACATAATTAATAAGCTATATTACTACAACGACTTCTTAGGGATTAAAAGTGTTGGCACATTATGTCTGATTAATATGCTATTGAAAAACTGCTATGAATATTATTTAATTTCTGTTTTAAGTTAGTGCCTTTCCTTCTAAGAAACTTTAAATAAATGTTTTGATGTTTAGTCAAATCATCATAATAACCATCATTATAGCATGAAAATGACTATCATCATTATTATTATTATTATCTAACTCAATATTATCAGTCATCATCATCACCACCCCATTTACAAGATATTTCTGTATATAATGCAGTGCCTTCCACTACTGTACATTGAATAAATGTGCCCTTATTAATATCATCATCATCATTGATGTCATTATCATCAACATCATAGTCACCAGAATCACTTCAACACCATTATTATCAATTAACTTAATATAAATTAATTTTTCTATTAAAACTCTGCTTATTTTTAATGTTATTTTTAAAAATTGAGAGTTTTAACAATGTTGCTCATTATGTCGGATGAAGTCTAATGTCCATGTGTCATGAACATCTTGGTGCAAGATATTAACATAAAATAGGAAAAGATTAACGAGAGGAATAATAATGGCTATAAGACCCCTGAGGAATACAGCGAATATGTTTACATTTGCTTGAATTAATAACATCATAAGCATATGACATATATTTCATCATCTAGATAGTGTTTGAACCAGTTCTTGACATTTTAATGGATGTTACATGATTTCAAGTTTTTTAAGTAGATTTTATTTGAGTTCATTTATCACAAAACATGTATATTTTTCTTTTTTGAATCATTGAAATCAGTCTGTTTTCAAAAGGAGAACAAAAATGCAGAGCATGTTGGCTAAAATTAGACTGATGTTCATATATCACATCGTAACATAAAGATAAGATAAAGTTTTATTAATCCTCAGTGGGTATGTCAGATATTTAAATATAACATTTGTGACAATAAATAAATATATAGCATATCAGATAACTGTAAAAAAAACTTAACTACATACTTGTGTTATTATACTAGATAATAATATATGGCAATTTTAAATTCCTAAAACAAAATTTCATATAACAGGTTAGTTATAAGAGTGCTCACACTTATTAAATTAAATTATATCAAACACAAATTATACAAATATATTATATTATACAAATTTGAAATATGTTAAGTAACTGACTTTAACCATTTAATTTTCATCCCATCATTAGTGTTCTGCACTTCCTCTGTACTGAAGCATTGATTTTGAAAGATGGTTCAGTATGAAACCAAAGAACATAAATAGTAGTAGAATGAGCTCTTCGCATAGTTTGCATTAAATTTGATGGAATGTCCGTCCGCTCTAGAATGGAGAAACTAATGAAAACAAGCGAATCAGAGATTTATCCAACCTACCTGCCCAACCGATCAAAGATATAGTGCCGCCACTCGAATGGAGGAAAATTCATGAACACCCTTATGGGGCATTCCACTATATCGTGAACTGCTCTACCTTTTGCTATTTATTATCTTTGATGAAACTAAAAGCAAATATTTAAAAACTGACTAAAATAATATAAATTAAAAGCAACGAAAAAATACATTTAAAGGTGGCAAACTCTTCATTACATTTCTCTTTTGTACTTGCAATTCCTCTCTGTTCTTCTCTATTTAGTAATTTATCAATGCTTGCTTGTGTTTATGGGGCTCCTGCTGGATGCGACACACATTTAAAATATGTTTTTAAATAAATACAATTTAAAAAAAATTTTATTTATATATATTTATTACAACATTTTAGGAGAAAATAAGAAACGAAATAAAATGCCTTTAAAGGATTACTAAAGCGTCATCAGCATTGATGAATTATCACTACATTTATCCTCATTCTATTAAAGAGAGTTGACTTGACTTTGTAACTTAGGTCTGCCAACTTTCTGAATACTTCCATTGCACAGTTGTATAGTGCAGTTATCCCTGTAGGTAATCCACGTGTATAAACAGTTGCTAGATGTACCTACCAATTATGGCATTTCAAAATTATAATGACATTAAGGGCTTGCTTTGAAGTTTTAAAAAACTGACCACCACCTATGTTAGTAATTTGAAGATATAGTATCATAGTATAATTTAATAATACCAGCAAGACTCTATCATGACGGTCAATTAATGTTTAGTGTCTCATGCTGAGTTTCTATCAATTGGGTGAAATTTGATCCAAGATCCTGGCAATGCATTAAAATTATGAAGATTGATGACAAAGTAGCATATTGTCAGCTTAGCTATACATCATATCAAGTTTGAGCGATCAGAGATCAGTCATAGATAAATGATTCGTGCTTTAAATTAAAAAAATTTACGTACACAAATGTAGAATGGAAAAATACAATGTCGACCTTGAATTTAATTGAGGATGTTGTAGATTATTATGAAAGATTAAAATAATGATATTAACGTTTTTTTCTCCATCAGCACTACAAAACAAAAACATCATAGTGTTGTTACGGAAGGAGCAAAATATTGTTATAACTATGTAGCTATTTACATCATTGTAAATAAGCAAAACCGTAGCATTTTCATATTTGCATTGTCAAACAAATATCATCACTTCTTAGTAGCAAACCATAATATCGTCATACCATCATAGCATACAGTGAGCATTATAAAATCTAGATAAGATATAGCAAAACCATAGAATTATCATTGATTCATAACATTTTAATAGTAGCATGAATAACATTTTCATTAACATCATGTAACAATATGGTATTTTTGTCATAGTAGCATTTTGACATTGTTTTAACTTTAGCAGATATGCTATAAGGACATCATATTTTAGTAACAGCAGCAACATTGTCAATGATATCGTATAACGCAACCATAACATTTTATTATCCTTCTACAATCATTGTAACTGTGCATTAACTTTACAGAAATAATATAGCAATAGATCATATTATTCTCATAAAGAGCATTAAAATTATCAAAATATTCTATCAATTACAACATGAAAGCATTATTATAACATTGTCATAACAACATTATACCATTTTGTCATAGCAACATATTTTAATAATAGCATAGCATTTTCATGGTAGTATTTTTCCATCATCAGTTGTATTCTTATATCAACAAGTAACATGTCATACAAATATGCAAAACAATAAATCATAAAAATAAAAAAAATGATTAGCATCAGGATAACAATATCATAGTATCGTCGTGGGAGTATTATACATATCATTCACATAGTAACATTATAGCATTGTCATAATTACATGTATTATCAACATTTCATAGCATCATCATAACATAGCATTGTCATAGTAGCATTATAATATTTCATATCAACAAACTGGATACACATATTTATTCTGGATCATTAGCACTGTCATTTTTTACAGGGGTTCAGGTAATACAACTGTACATTCTATTGTTGAATTTGCTCAACACTATTATGGGCAGAAAACACCCATAAATCCTAGGCGTAATATTTGGCATCCTAACTTGTTTAATATTAAATACAATCAATGTGATTTATTTAATATGCTATCCATGATGGGATATATTTTGTTATATACGATGCCTGACTAAACTTATAGTTTAAATGTCAGGAAAATTAATTCTCACCTTGCAGTTCACCTTAATCTATTAAGCCTATTGCAGTCTAGTTATACTGTTGTTGCAAACAAATAAATAAAGATGTAAGTACAGTGAGAAGATTGAAGCATAAATCCACACAAACATGTACTTTAGCACTGTAGTTTTTTGCTGAAAACAAGAAATATATCGTTACATTTGTCATTTTTACGAATAGGCATAAACTGTGCACAAACAACTTTGTACCAGTAGTTTGTGGCTCTGAATACAAAAAACCGTAAATACATTGGGGTTTTTTTGCTTTCATTAATAACAATAAGCACAAATTACTTTGTGCTTCATTGTGGTTATGACGACAAAATGTACTATGATAAGAAATAAATACTATATTCGTTGATAGAACCAAGGTACAAGACAATTTTCATTGTGGGCATATTTTTATTTTAAGTAGAATATTTATTATTATTTTACACATTTGTTAAATAAATTTCTCTATTTATATCATATACAGTAACTATATTACTAAATCAGTATATCATCCCACGGTTGTCTACACAGTAAATAGCTACCTCTATGTTGTGAGAATATGATTTATCACAGAAATGATGACCTTCTGTGTTATTTTAACCATTTTAAACATCCCAGAGGATTCATCGCACAATTTGTGTTTAATGTTTCATTAGCGAGGACAATTATTGTGTGGACAGTTGGCCTTGTGGTCATCTTGATTAAGTTGAACAGAATCCAATGATAGCTCTTATTTAATGATCGTGGCATTTGGAGGACTTGCAATTCTGCAGTCATTATATTTGTTTGTATTTGTGTTTAATTATTACTTGTTTTTTATCCTGATGAGATTATCTGACAGGACCTTTCCAGCATGTGACTATCAAACTAAACAATCAGAACAGGGCTAGAAATATGCGTGTGTCTAACAAATGCATTTGTTTGCGTATGTTTTAACATTGTCGTTTTTGTGAGACCTTAGCAACTATATCCAATGGGTAGAGCTTAGTGGAAAGATCCATTGATAGGCAGTGGCGTATCTAGGAGTTTTGAAATGGGGGAGTGCAAAGGTCACGTGGGGGACTCCATGGTTAGGTGAGGGGCTCGAACTCCCAAAATAAGGTATTTTTAGGTGATTTTAACTACTTGAGCACGATTTTAGGGGCGACAAGGCGACCGTGTGCACCTAGATACGCCACTGTTGATAGGGCATTGGAAAGGTTTTTTATGAGGGGGAATTCGAATAGATACTGTATCTGTAATTGATAGAGGCAATTGCTGTGTGAATTACTTCATTTTTATTTCTGTGCTAGTTACTGCTGTGATTTTTTATTCTGTTTGTCATTGTATTCTAAATTTTTATTAACATAATAAATAACATTATATGATTTAATTGTTAAAGTCTTTAATAAATGGCAAAATATATGTTTATTCTTTTGATTTTATCTTTTTATCTCTGTTTCTAGGTGATTGTGTACAAAAACAACATTTACTTCAAAGAAAGTGTTTCAAACAATGATAAGGCAATTCCGATAACGTCTGATGGCGAAGATAACCAAATTTTTAATGGAATTCCTGATTGGTTATATGAAGGTCAGAGTTCATTTAATCATAAAAAATATTTAATATTCATTCAGATAAACTTATTGTGTCCATGTTTTTTGTTCTCAAACAGAATAATTTAGAAATATCTAGCCTTGGCTGCAGGTAGGTTCAGGATTGTATATATTTTCTGGTCCTCTGGTATAAGCCCATTCCTCCAAACTTGATCCAATTTCACATTTATGGTGGTAGGCTTAAGCCCTAGGAATTCTTAATTTAGAGATTTAAAATTTTTCAATTTTTCAATTATTTTAGTTTTTACACTGCATTGTGTATTTGGTAGATGCTACATATATAATATCCCTCATTTAAGCCATTGTCTCGGATTCAGTATTTTGTAATTTGCATTTTAAATAGACATAAAGCTATGTAAATACAATAATTTCCCTTTAGATTTGTATTAATTGTTCGCAAGAAGATCAAAAAGAAACTATTACAGTATGTCACAAGACTACTTAATGTTTAATTATCCATGGATTAATACGATCCATGAACACATAGTAATGATTTCTTGTTTCTCGGTACTGTAATTTATTTTTGTTATTCACAGTAAAGTCAGTTTAATTATATCTGTCTTAAAAGCATATGGTACAGATTTATAGCTAAATTCCCTAGCTACCAAGGATTGTATACAAGTTTTCCTTTCTTTCCGAAATACATACCTTAAGAGATAAGCATTAGCCAGTAATTCTTGTTTATATCGTGAAACTCAACAGACCTTTGGACAAAGTACAGGTGCCAGGTTTTATAACTTTGAATCTGGAAATAGTAAATTGCGTTTGAATGCATTTGCTTGTCGCATATATAATTAATTTCATTGCTCTATGAAATGATGCTCTACAAGTAGTATTTCATGGTTTGCCGTTTCAATCTCATAAACTTTTTTGTATATATAAATACACGGTGGAAATTTATGAGATGGTCTTAATAATTATTTCCTCACTGGTTGTTCATCTAATAAATTTAGTTTTGGTTTAGGGTAGCGGTGTTTGCATCACTTTAGTAAATCTGCATTCATCCTGTGTTGTGTTGAAAGTGAAACATACTGACCTCTCCATGATGTACAGTACCAAAACATGCGCCACTGTTATTCGAATGCTCTGTCCACACTATGAAATTAATTTATGTGACAAGTATGTGTTATGTGCCCATATATGGGCATGATGATGTCATATTATACCCAAATATGGGCATATCATATTTATTTGTCAAATAAAGTTTTATAGTGCCGATAGAACAAGAAAAGTCCAAACCTTGAATATAAGGATATATTACACAATAAGGATTTGAGAGTTATACAGCCAGCAATTTTTATCCACCAACTTGACTCTGATTCTGAATTACTCCAATCTTAACATGGTTTTTTACTTATTTTGCAAATATACTGGTACTAGTGTTAATAGAATTGAAATTGAGATGCATTTGCAAATTTATTTGCTGAGTCAGTGCTATGCCAGTGTGGAAGAAATTTTCTTACAGCTTACCTGACAATCAATCTCCGGAACTTACCCTTTAAGATATCCTGTCTATGCTAAAATGTAGAAAAAAACTTACCTAAATATTCAATGTAACTAATTCAAATATATGAGGTCTCATCAGGCATGAGATATTCACCAAAATAGGCCCAAGTCAAAATTTTACAAATTATTGATTTTAATGTTTTTGAATAACTTGATACTTATATTTTATGATTGTGTACTTTTTAAGTGAATTTTCTTACTAAAACAATGTCCTGCATATATTCTGTAATTCAAGTCCATTTATTTGTACAAGTTAGTTTATCTTTGAGGCCAATTTTCTGAAAACCTGGTTCTGATACTGTACATCTAAACATTAAATGCTCACATCTTTGGATCTACTTTACCCTAGGGAAGCCATTGAAAGTCTAAATTAAAGCTTATGTGATCTACCTATATAATATACATTTAATTTTGATTTTCTCACATAAGACTCGTTTTGTGGTGAGACCTCATATATTGAATTGTATTTTTTCAAATTGGTTAGCATGGTTATCTATGCAGATACCTTTAGTGATTGTATTTATTAAGATTTTCAAGGTTCAGAAACTCCCACCTTCCACCATAAGTTATACAGAAAGTCTAACCATTATAATAAAAAAAAAATTGGTACTGAATAAATGTATATATTATTATCTATGATCATTAAAAAAAAATCTGCTAAATTTACTAGAAAATAAAGTCATTAAAAGACATGTCAGAGGCCATAGGACTGAGATATCTGCTGGCCATCTATAAAGCAAAATTTTTCAGTGCCTATTTCTTTATTACTTATTTCTCTGCCTAGAATAAATTAATTAGAACCCACCTTTCTAAAACTTGAATTCATCCCTGAGTCTGTTTGCTATATATTTGTCTATAAACTTTTCTCCCCTGGCACAAATCTTGTGTTAATTAAAAAGAACAAATAATGGAATTTCATGGAAAATCTTCCAGAATATAATAGTTGATTATATTCCTTCACATTTTTTTATCCTTGTGGTACCATCTTTCAATAATCAGGCTGTTTATTTCTATTACAGAAGAGATACTCCATGGAAACTCTGCAATATACTGGTCTACAAGAAACAGATTCGCTTACATTCAATTTAACGATACAAACGTATTGTTAGGTTGGTGGCCTGTGTACGAGAATAACATCTACCCAAAGCAGAGAAACGTGACCTATCCGAAGCCAGGTGAGATCAACCCGACTGCGAAATTGTTTGTTGTGCAGGATGCAACACAGCACAATGGTCCATTAGAAATCAAAATGCCTATGGAGAGTAGCCTGAAGTTAGTGAGAAATTTACATTTTTTTTAGGCCTGATAGGCATATAAGAATATACTACTACTAGATAGATATTCATATGATTAAGATGCGTAATTGTGGTGAAGACATTGATGATCAGAAGGAGGACAGAGCAGTAAGGGCCTTCTGTTCTGTTTCCCTCCCTTCACGTTTTTAAGTTTTATTTAAATTTAAAATTTTAAAAATTCCAATTACCCTTAAATCTGATACTGCAATTTCTTACCAGCTAGAGGTACCATAATCATAAAATTTGGTACCTCCCCATTTGTACGGAAGACTGAGTTTGGTCTGTGTATATATATTGTAAACATTTTAACCAATATTTTAAAATATCTGAATTATGCTTACAATAACAGCAACCAATATGAAGGTGGATAAAATTATAATTTTTAATGTTTATAGTACTGTACTTTATATAACATAACTTTTGTAATATTTTTAAAGATGATGTAATACATGTTCGAAAACTTTCTAAATTAGTTTTGCAGAATATTACATCCAGTCCGTGGCATGGGCCTCCACCGAAGAGCTTGTTGTCACATGGATGAATCGGCCGCAGAATATCTCGCTGATCACCAGGTGCAACGTGGGTAGGCAGGAAAGAGGCGAGGTTACTTGTAAAAAAGTAGAAGAGCAGAAATCAGAATCAGGATGGGTTGCACAGGTAATCACGCAATTTATCCGATATTTTCTATTATAGTGAATTTCATATTTTGTTTGATCCTAAGGTTCATTTGACAGTCTAAGCCAATTACATTGCCAAATTTACTGTCAGGTCTAGAAAAAAAGTGTTTGTGCCTCCCGCCATAAAAATTGTCACTAAAATGGCTCCAACATGAAATGTTATCTGTACACTATATAGCCCAATAGTTTAATTTTTTTTAATTTTTTCCCCAAAAAATGGCTCTGGGACATTCATGATGCCTCCAACAGAAGGTAGCACAGCCGCTCACTTTTTCCAGCCTGTTTACAGTACTTTTACTTCAAATTTACCTGCAGTAAAATAATGAGCTTTATACTGAATACATTTCTTGTTTTTTTTTATTTTACAATAATTTTTTCCTTAGGGTTAGTTTTATGATTTCGTTGTTGTATTCAGAAATTGTATTATGTGAAAAAAAATTATAAAACAAACAAATAACATCTCATTGTTGACTCGTGCTTATAAGAACTTAAGGCCCTAGATATTCTCCCATTTATTTAACTTAAAACATAAGGTCATATCTTGGCTAATGGATTTTCAAAGTTTGATAAAAAAAAATATATAATACATGATTATCACAAAATTACACTCAAAACAGACAATGGAGCAATCTGCTAGACTAAGCCCTGCCCTTGGATATTGTTGCTAAGGTCCCATGAAGTGTAAAAACGTACTGTTCTGATTGGTCAGATTGATTGCCATTTGAAGGTCCATTGTTACATGGATAATCTGGAAATCTGTAGATCAGGAAAAAATTATAATCAGGAGAGGTAACAATAATATACGGCATTGCTACAAACTATATTAATATTCAAGATTAAAATCACTGCTAGATCAGAGTTGACTTTATTAAAGTATAATAACAAGAAATAGAGTGAAAGATTGTTATCATTTTTTAGGTGTTAATTTTGTTTGTTTGAATTTTATTGCAGCCTCCAGCTCCTGTCTTCACAACAGATAAAAGAAGTTTTGTACAAATTATGCCACAAAACGAAGGCAGAGACTTCAGACGGTTTAACCATATTGTGTACTTTAAACAAGTATGGAAATTTCACATTTCAATGACATCCTGTATAAATATATTCAAATTTGATTTTACTGTAATTGGAATACAAAGCTATCTTATATTTCCTGTCGTTCGTTGCTTTCGCAGCGACATCTTCAGGGAGACTGATGTGATTATAATGATCCACTTGTCACAAGACCATTCAAGCATAAATGATTTGAATAACCATGTGGCAATATCTCATAAATCAATTTTTTGTCGTTATATACCTTTCTTATTATGTAAATATTGTTTTTAGAGTTGATGTTAGCCCTTAATGTTTGCTGTAACGAATAGCTACTTGTAAATTACCTCTGGTAAAACAATTCTAAATGTTAATAGAAATATAACAAGTTCAGTATCAGATTAAATTTAAAATAAGCATATATGAATTTTCCTAAATATTTCAGTAAATATTTATATATATTTTTTTTCTAGGACAATCCCTTTATACGTTTAACAGAAGGAGAGTATGAAGTGAGCAAAATCTATGGAATAGATAGTGAAAATATTGTGTACTTTGCTTCCAATAAGGAAGGTTATGGGACGAAAAACATTTACAGGTATGCTAGGTGATTTAAAGGTGTATTTAATGATGAAATACATTTGTTTATATGTAACTTTATAGCAACAGACTAGGGAATTACACAAAATTGCAAAATTGTATTAGATATGAGTCCTATGAGCAATTTACAGGCAACACATATCAAATATATTCAAATGAGCTTTTCACATACAATATATCCAATTTAGGCAGGTAGGAAAGAGCATAGAATATTGAATGCCAATGACTTTCCATTCGAAGCATCACAGTTTGAACTTGGGTTTGTTGGGTTTCTTGTTAGTTTTTCCCTTCCTCAGTTTTTTGTTAAATTTATTTGCAATAAATAAAATAAATATTTATCAAGTATTTCTCAACATTAATAAATCTCATGATTATCTGGTTGTGTGTTTGAATAATCTTACAGTGTATTCTGTCTCTGTTTTCAGCGTACAAACTTCAAAGCCGTTTTCAGTGAAATGCCTATCATGTGGAACTTCTTGCAGTGGAAAATGCAGTAAGGGATGTTTAGGTTGCGAATACTTTGATGCAACATTTAACCCATCGCTAACATGGCTTTTACTGAACTGTGAAGGTCCGAGTATTCCATGTTCGTGGATTCGACAAACTCGTGCAATAGGTGGTAGAGCAATTGAAGAATATCTTGTTGAAAATAATACAGCTTTACAGAAGGCGATTGAGGGGAAGGGTACTCCCTTAAAAGTTCCTAAAAAAGAATTTTTAACGTTGAAAAACGAAAAGGATCAAGATATACATGTGCAGCTTATAATGCCTGTAAACTATGATGATAAACGTAAACATCCACTTCTTGTTAATGTCTACGGTGGCCCAGGTTCACAGAAAGTGACAAAAGCATTTGAGATGGGCTGGAGCATGTACTTAGCATCAAAATTTCACGTAATAACGGCCAGTATTGATGGGCGCGGGTCTGGAGGAAAAGGAGAGAAGTTTAGACATGAGATATACAAAAAGTTTGGAACTGTAGAGGTCAGAGATCAAATTGATATCACAAAGTAAGTAGACTTGTATTTTTGTTTTTGAAGTACCTTAGACCCATAGGTAGATATTTCACTATGTTAAGGTTCATAACAGTTGCAGTCCCTTTAATACTAGGTATTAGAAGGAAGATGATGAATAATTAATTTTCCAAATGTTTTCCATTCCAAATTGTGAACGAATATCATCTCGTAGCGATTTAACATCCCTAGTTGTGAAATGCTTAGAGCATCGAGGTATAAAATTAATAGCTCTGTGCTTAGAGGCTGCATCTCCACACATGAATGTGTGAATAATAGAGAAAATCAGTACAAAAACACTTGGGTAGATTGAGAAACATGATTTAAAATTGGATGAGCAGTGCTGAAGTGCTGTTTAAAAATGTTAACATCTCCCCCTGATGTGACATTTAAGATTGATGATTTGCAAGCAGTGGCTATTGTTACACAAGTATTAAACCAACTCCTAAATATGAATGAATATTATATGTATAGGTTGGATGGATAATAATATCCAATCATTATTATGTTTAAGACCGGTGTAATAATAGCCACTACATTCTTTTTGTATGTCCAAAAATGATTAAAAGAAATTATGGTGAGGAGTAGTATTTAGTTGTATTTAATCTTGAATGCATAGATAATAATTATGATTTACTTTAAAAAAATAAAATAAAATAAAATATAATTTTTAATCAAATTCAACGCAAATAATTTTGTAGTTGAGGTACTGTACTGTTATTCCCAGAAACCGTAGAACACACATTTTATAAGCTTTCTTGCCCAGTAAATCATACTTAGCTTTAGATATTGATTTGTATCCTCCTACTTGAGGACATAAGATAGCCGTTTGCACATTTAAGTACCGTCTTATCCCCTACTTGATGGAGTTTTATAATTGCATGGTCGTATGGAGTAGTGTGGACAGTGTATTCATATTCGGTTTGATTTTTAAAGACAAACACTTCGTAGTAGTCAGAATTGATTGTGGTTAAAATGCACTTAATATGGATCACACAATCAAATTTACAAAATTTGATGCATACGTTTGAGGATTATGAATACATGGACATGTTGTATTGAATACATCATTAAGTTGTATTAAATTATTGTGAACAAGCCAGGTATATAAATGTAATTGCTTGCATATTCATAAAGTGATTATGAACATATATCGTTTGTTTTCAGATGCAACAACGTCTGTGGGAATTGAGATAAATACATTCATTGTGTGTACGTTAGAAACAGCCCTATTCTGAGATATGCTGTATTTGTGTGTGTTTTGCAAATATAAGAGCATTAAAAACTGATGTGTTATTTTTCACAAAAGAGCATTATGAATGACATTATGAATGACATTATGAATGACATTATACAATGCATCATGCTATTTAAAATGCATGATTTCTAATTATTTGCACTTTGAATGAGGATGAATACCTAATGCTAGATTTATTCTATTCTATAACGATTATCATGTTTTCATACAGATGAAAATTATATCAACTGTTGTCCTTTGTTTTCAGGGAATTGTTGAATACGCTGCCATACCTAAACCCAACCAAAGTTGCTATATTTGGCTGGGTAAGTGCTTATATCAAAAAAATATTTTGTTCATCAATCAATCAGTTATTTTTGTAATGTTTCATTGCATGACAATTATTAATTTTTAATATTTGACAAATTTATTAGATGTGCCTTAAATTGAAAGTGTGGAAGGGACTGTCAGAAAATGAGACAGAGATGCGACAGGAGAAAATGGTTATTTTAAATCCCACAAGAAATATAATATATGAATATCAGGAAATCAATGGCTAAACATGGTTTATAATGAGTATTGAGCATAAAATATAATGTAGACCTGTTTTGATTGTTAATAAACAAAACACAATGGGTTTTGTGTTTAGTGTTTGGTTTATTTTAAACGATCAAAACAGTTCTACAATAATAACAAGCAAACCAGATGAAAGTATTCAAGCATAAAATATATGGGTAATAAGTAGCAAGGACTTCTTTGAAATGAAACAAGTTGGCTTAATAATTTGTATTGCAATATTAAAATGAATGAGTTATTTGTAATTATAAATAATGTTGTCATTAGCATTATTAGGCAAGTATTTTTAGAATGATGAAAAAAATCCTCAAAACTATTCAACTAACTACTTTATTAAATTGATGATATTTTTCTCTATTTGCAACAATCTCTTCATAATTCTACACCATTTTATGGCGTCTATTTTGAAACAGTGCCACTAATGTCTCGTAGCTTTTCACTGAGGGACAACCAGCCAGAGCATCTTGTTTGCTGGTCTTATGTGCCCCAATTTTTTTTTTTTTTTTTTGAGTTAGCCTAGTTGTAGGCTAACTCACTACAACAAAAAGGTAGTTCACCAGTCACGGAACAGATAAATACTGGTAACTACATAGAGCAAGATGCCTAGGCCTCTGGATGTTTCCCAGTTGTAGTTGCCAGGTTCTCGGAAATTTTCATTTCAAATTTAGTGAAAATAGTGTATACCAACAAATTTAAATAGTACAGTAATTCCATTTTGTTAAGTGTGTATAATAAATATATAAAATACCTCCTTTAATATTACATTATACTTTATAATTTTTTGTTGATGAATAGTGTACGAAAATTTGTTTATATAGCCTAGATAATTATTAGCTAAACTAATTCAATGGACTGCTTTCCATAAATAATAATAATTATAATAATAAAAATTGGGAGATTTAAACAACATCATTGATACACCCTTGAGGCACTTGAAAATACATATTCTATGTCTCCTTTATAGACATAATCACAACACTTCATAAAACAGTAAATTTAATAGCAATTCCATTTGTTAAGGGCATAATAAATAGATGAAAGTACTGTACTTCAAAATGACATTATACTTTCTAATTTTGTTAAAAGCCACTTACTTTTTTGATATAGCCTAGATAAATGTACTATATGTAATACTGGTATGTATATTGATTGCTCTTCCAAATTATCCTTTAGTCTTATGGTGGATTTGTAGCGGCTTCTGTAGCGGGTTCCTCATCAAATGTGTTTAACTGCAGTATAGCCGTCGCCCCGGTTACTGATTGGAGATACTATGGTAATTTGCATGTAGTTATGATATTTATTATTACTATATTATTATTTCTAATATTATTTAGTTAATATTTCTTAATATGTGGCAAACACAAGCCAAACCAGTCACTCGTTGCAAATCGTGTTTCAGAGAAAATGGCCAAAACATGCTGGAATGTCAAATTTTCAAAAATCTATTTTAAATTGAACTTTATATAGGTATGCATCATGCTATGCTGTTATTTTCCCAATTTTCAATGTTAAAACAACACTTTTTAAATATTTGATGATAGTTTCGTATTAGAAATGCCGGAAATCATAAACTTTGAAAGCTGATTTCTCATATATTGTTCTTTAAACAGCTGTATGTTTGAACGCTTGTAACTTCATAAGGAAATGTCAGATTTGAATGGGTTTTTTACCATTTTAGATCTCTTATTTAATTTTTTTTAACTCGCAATCGATTTTGCGACGAGTGACTGGTTTGACTTGTCATTGCCACATTTTATTATTTTTAATATTATTCAGTTAGTGTTTTTTTTTTAATTTTTCTTATTTCGGTTTTAATTATTGTATCATTATTTTGTCAGTGCAAGATACATTTGTTATCTGTTTCCTAACATTTACATTCTGTAATTACACCTCTTTGTTGGGTATAAAGTTTGACTTTTAAATGGCAGATTCAGAATGGTTTTAAAATTCAAAATGTCAAGAGAAACTAAGTAAATATGCATTGTGATTAGGAAGGCACTTAAAGCTTATGACCTGATTATCAAAATTTTTTTTGACAACAAAATGTTGTATGCTCATATATAGTCATGATGTGCCTGCGTAACATGGTCATGATGTGATGTCATCATGTTGCTGCCGCAGCTCCAACTTTCTGGAACTCTTTATCAATCTCCATCAGACAGCGTGTTAATTTAAACTCTTTTAAGACCAAGCTAAAGACCTTCCTTTTCCATAAAGTTTTTTATTAATTTATCATTATATCCATATTCTGATTTTATGTGTCGCATATTAAGAGGTTGCTTATATGTGCTATATAAGAATGAACTACCATAAAACCTCAAATTGAAGCCCTGGGCTTATTTTTTATGCGAACTTTGGATGGGTTTCTTTTCGAGGCTACTTTTGCAAAGTAAAGAGGGGGACTTCTTTCCAAAACAAATGCTGTAAAGTTTATGAATTTGTACTATATAACATCAATCTGTATCACAGGATGTATTAACTGACATTAAATCACCTGAACTACTGTATAAACCAAAGCATGTTTTTAATTTATTTTGCTTTTTTGAAATACAGTATGTACTGTACTATTTTGAAAAGCCTATGCTATGAGCTTCTTTTCAAGGCTAAATTTGCAAACTAGAGGGGGCTTCAATTTAAGAATATTATTATTATTATTATTATTATTATTATTATTATTATATTTAGGCATGTCACATGTTTTTGTCTAATTTTATTTGACAGTCTGGACAGGGCTAACTTATGTATCTGGGGTTTTTTTTTTTCAGACTCTGCCTACACTGAGCGATACATGGGGGATCCTTTAACCAATAAGGACGCATACTCAGTAAGTTTTTTTTGCACTGCACATTTAGGCTATAACAATCAAGAGGAAATAGTCATTAAGTAACTGTAGGAAGTGGTAGCTTTTACTACGAAGAAATGGGAATTCCGAGCTAAGCAAAGCGCATGCGCAGTTATCAAATAACATCCTTGAATTATCTATAAAAACACAGTGAGCATGTGCTTGGAAATGCTAGACAGCCAGTGAGCATGTGCATTGAGTAAGTGGCGTTATTGAGCCATGTCGAGCATGCGCAGTTACCAAAAAGACGTCTCAGGAACCAAATAGCGGCTGCGAAGAAGTCTCAGGAACCAAATAGCAGCTGCGAAGACGTCTCAGGAACCAAATAGTAGCTGCGAAGAGGGTATGATTACCAAAAAGTCGTCTTAAGAACAAAATAGCGGCTGCGAAGAGGGTATGAAATAGAAACGGGAAAACTACATATGTTAGAGAACTCGAGCGGGTTGAAAGCCTCTATTTTGGCTGTCTTTACGGTCAGGGGAATTGTAATTAAAAATTGGGGAAGAGTGAAATGGTGCAACACGTGCGGTCCCCACGCCCTCCCCTTGATACGTCACTGCCAACAATAGCTGATGATGAAGCCTTTGAAGGTTATCAATGTGGTCGAGCCTTGAGTCTAGGTGACAGCTTAATTAATCTACTATATAGGATTACAAACCAGACAAAGTGGGTCCCAGCTGCAGGAAGAATCTTACATGACCCACCCTTTGATAATTCCATATTCGTTTGGATCATTTTATTATTTTAACATCAATTTTATTTTTAAAATAATCTTTAATTCATATACAGTATTATGCATATTGCAGTAAAAAATAGGGCTTTCAAAAAACAAATTATACCATACCTTCAATAATGTAAACTCTACAATATTTATTGATCTATAGGAAAATACAATTACAGATTAATTTTTTGAAACAGGTAACTTAAATACAATAACAAAATTTAGGATAAATCTGGAAGTAGCTGTATACACAAATTGAATAAGCTACAGAAGTTGTGTAATTGTTTATTATTATTATTATTATTATTATTATTGTTATTATTATTATTATTATGAGGCTTACCAGACCAGTGACCACAAAATAAAATTGACTTTTTAATATATTCTTATTCTATAAGCCAAAGTTTATGAGTAAAAGTATTACAGCTTCTCTGTTTTAAAGTATACAGTCCTGCCACATTCTTATGTTAAATACTCAGTTTTAACATTTAGCGACAGTACATTAGTTTTGAATGGCAAGTTCATGTGTTATGTTCCTTATAAAAAGTGTATGTTATTTATTAATTAGTTTCATTAAAATTGGGAAAATGTAAGCTTATTGATAAAAAGATGCTGGGAAAAAAGTTTATACCTAAGGATTTTATTCTGTAACAAAAATATCTGGAGTTGAATTATATTTCTCTTGGGAAATATATAAGCTTATTAAAATAAATTGTTTATGAGCCTTTTTAGTCTGTAGGAAAAACTTATTTGGTGTAATAGAGTGTATTGTGTGAAAAATTGTAAGAGTAGATATATTAGTCTATATGGTACCATAAACACATTGACAAGTAGCACTTCGAGACTAATGACGTACGGTAGTGCTAATGGTAGAGCTTAAAAAGGCCACAGTACAGATGACAGCTTGTGTAAATAAAATGATCATTAGTCTTCAATTGCTGTTGCTCAATTATCATTACATGAAATGTCAGCGTTCATGAAAGCATGGAATTGATTTTTTTTTTTAAACTGTTAGACTTGGCGAAAATAATAATTAATGCATATAAGTAAAGCACTAATATCCCCAAACTAAAGTAAAGTTTTAATTAATATTCAGGTCTTTGTAAGTGTAGTTTTAAAACTCACAGTGAGCCTTTATCTGATCATGTGCTCCAAATAGCAGTAAACACATAGCAATCTCAAATAATAAAAAAAAATTGTTGAGCTGCCTGTGGAGAGTGAAGTTGGGAAATTTGTATCAGTTGGTCAGCAGCATTTCTTTTTATCAGCCTAAAGCCTGATTTTCTTAAAATTGCTACACTGTTGCTACACTGTTGCTACAGTGTTTTCATTGTAATTGTTGTATGGTGTAGCAGTCGCCGACACAATCAGGAAGCATCCCAATTTGACCAACTAATCACATCACCAAAAAGTTCAGCGATAGCATTTAGCAATTGTATGGAAACCAAGCTTTAGCCTAATTGTGGAGTTCATTGCCAACCATCACTCAACCATAGAGCTAAAATTCAAATATGTTAAACATTTTGAAAAGTGGCCTTTTAAGTTTTTCATTTAGTTAAGTATGTTTTGGCTCATCTTATTTTTTGTCCACCACTTCCCCCATCCCCATAAAAAGGAATAAATCGGTGAACCTAGATTTTGGGTCAGTTGTATTACAGTATTTATAAGTTACAGAATTACCTCCTCTGCAATGAATGCCTTTGTAAAATTGAGATTAAAGCTTAATACTATCATGCTAACTGTAATTTATTACCCTGCAAGACGTTTTACTTCAAACTCGAATACCGTACTGCATTAACTACAAGAATCCAGAATGATTTCACCTTAAATGTACGCCAACGCTTGGCACGTCCATTGTGCGAATTACAATACTGTAGGTAAAATGTCAGTGATATACGATTGCCTAAGCCCGGGAAATATCACCTCCCTGGTGGGTGATAAATACCTTACGACAGTATTAGGAGGCATTTGTGGAGATTAGAGGGAGTATGTTGTAATAATAAACTAACCGAGAAGCAGACTGGATAGGGATAATGTTAAGATAAATCGCTCCAATAAGTATTAACTCTAAGCTTAGCAATACCAACCAGGAACGTTTCTAAAACATGAGATAACATTGTGCAGTATTTTGTTATCTCCATCTGCCTGATGTTGATACTCTAAATATTGTTGTGTTAGAAAAAGAAGGTCGACTCTTTGTTTTTTTCATTATATAGAAATTATTACTGTATGTTTAATTTAATTGTGCCTACTGTTATGCTAAACAAATTATATTTTACATTTACATATTTAAAAAAATATTTTATGTTTATATTTTATAGAAAGCTAACGTGTCAGCTAAGGCCAGTGCATTCAAAGAAGTTCAGTTTTTAATTGTCCATGGAACCGCTGATGGTAAGTTATTATATACCTACTGAACTCTTTATTTAGTCATCAGTAGGTAATGCAACATTTTGAAAATAGGATGTTCAACAGGAGAAGGTTAAGGTTAAAGTCACGGGGGTTTTAAAATTTGTTTTTGGTTCTGTACCATGAAATTGCTCATTTTGATAGTCAAACAAGAGAAAAATTCCCATGTGTGTCCCCCCCACCCTCAGAAACAAATAACCAGGGGAATATTATTAAGCACTTCTTCAGACTGTCTTAATCCCTCCTAGCTATAAGTATTGTATAGGAGTTTTGACCACAAATGAAAATGGCCACAGGGTATAAGTAGGCCATCACACTAAATGTATAAATGTATGTATTTAAGTTCACAATTGTTCTTTTCTTTCAGACAATGTTCACTTTCAAAATTCAGCTGACCTGGTGAGGGCGCTTGTTCAAGAAGAAGTTGTACACCAGACACAGGTATCTATAATATAATATCTGTTTATATCAACTTTATATTCAGTTTTTCTTTAAATTACTACCAAAAACATCATGGGTTCGAGGTTAGCCATTAGTTTAAAGTCACTTTAAATTAAAGAAAAAGGCACTTTTTCTGCTTTTCTTTTCTCCAGGGACGAATCCAGAATTTTGTGAACGGGGGAGGGGGGCGCACAATATATTCAGAATAGATAAGTGAGTAGTGCTAATTTCAATATATGCATAGAAATTTTAAAATAATAAACAAATTTAAAATAAAAATTTAGTGGCAAAATGGGGGCACATTCCTCCCATATCACCCTACTGGATCCACCCCTGCTCTCTACCCAGGAGTTAAATGGGTATCTGGAGGGGTATTGAAGTAGTCCAAACAGAGATTCATGCAGTAGGACTGAAATACTGTACTCCTCGGAGTGGATTTACTGTATGAATATAAAAATGTCCCACCAAAAAAAAATTTTGTCCAATTTCAGCATATATTGTTTTTTAATGTTTGCAGTTTTACCCCGACCAAGCTCATTCTTTGGAAGACCCTCATGTTCAGCTTCATCTCTACCGGCTACTTACCAATTTTTTGAGGCAGTGTCTAAGCTTAGATTCAACACCTCCAGTGTAATGTATAGGAATTGTTTTTACTTTTTGATAACTTGGTGACAAATAATGGTATATGGAAAATTTAAACTCATGAAAGAGTTATATTTTAGGGGGAAATTATTTCAAAAAAATATTCTATCGAAGACAAAATTGTGGACTATTTAACCAATTGAAATTCTAGAATTATATAGCAGATTTTTATTGAACTAAGAATGAAATTGTGTGCAATTAGTAGTATGGGGTGGACAGTGTAGTGAAGAATGTCAATTTAGAGAGTTTAGAGTTCACAGAGCTTATATTTTTTTCTAATATTTTCATCGGGTTCAGTGAATAACATAAATACTCTATTATCAAATGATGATGGTAGGGTATTGAAATCACAACCGTAAAACCTCGAATTGAAGCCCAGTGGACTTAATCTCGAGATGAAGCCCATCTCAAATTGAAGTCCCCCTCTTTAGTTTGCAAAATTATCCTTGAAAAGAAGCCCATCTCGAAAAGAGGCCCATGGCCTTCTTTTCAAGATAGCATAGGCTTTTTTTCGAGATACGGTAGAACAGTACACTGTACATGAATTTCAGAAAACAAAATAAATTAAATACAAGCTTGGTTTTTAGAGTAGTTTAGGTGATTTAATGCCAGTTAAATAAACTCCATGATACAGATTGATGTTACAGTGGCCTTATTCACTGTATTATAATACAAATTTAGAAAATTTACAGCACTCATTTTGAAAAGAAGGCCCCCCCCCCTCTCTACTTTGCAAAAATAGTCTTGAAAAGAAGCCCATTTCAAAAAAATCCCATCAAAAGTTCGCAAAAATAAGAAGCCCAGAGCTCCAATTCGAGGTTTTACAGTATTATAATTCAATCCAATGACAAAAATACCCAACAAGTAAAGTGCACCATGAATATGTAACTAGAATATGTAACACAAAAATCTATACAAACGGTTTATTTCCATTGGGGTCTAATTAGGTCTTAGTACCAATTATTCATTAAAGAAAATTAAGATTTTAAAAATCAGAATCATTTCTAATCATTAATAAAATTATTATTATTTTACAATGCACCAATTTAGAATTTTGCAATACTAAAGCCAATTATGTTTTCATAATCTTATATTTTGATTTTATATTATGGAATGAATACTAAATAAAACTAAGTATATATGTTTTTGATTTTCCCCCAAACACTAGGGTAATGATGTCAAGTGCATATAAACTTTGGCATAATGCACTCTAAGACATAATATTCTTATTGATATGGTTATGCTTGTATTATCATTAATTTTATATAATTATTATTATTATTAGTGTAATGATAATGTCAACTGAATCTTGCATTCCTTAAATACAATTACATTTATTAAACATTATTTTATTATGAATATATTGTTGTCAATATTTGCCAAACCTAAAGGTAAAATATGAATATCATATAGTATTAATTCTGTTATAATTGTCTTCTTTCAATGGCTACAAGATGTCTTTCGTGCTGTGACTGCAACATATTTTTTGAGTGTTAAGTTGTACATAATTTTGTTTGTATATCAGTCAATTTTTGAGGGAAAAAAATATAATTGTTTACTACTCATGAATTTTATGATTGAAATAGTCAAATGCATTGGGTTTTTTTTTTTTTTTTGCTTTATTTTGGTAAATTGTAAACTTCAGATATATTATAGTTATAGGTCTAGTAAACTTTTCTTGGCTTCAGTACAATTTTATTTTACATTGTACCGAATATATTGAATTTAACTTGTTTGCTGCCATGGCTAATACCCGTCTTACAGAGTGTTAGGAACAAGTATAGTCATAATACCCTATTCTATCATTGTATTTTATATAATGACACTGGTGGGGCTCCTAGGGTCACAACTGCATAAAGCATGTACAAATGGTGATTTAGGGAAGGCCACGTATCGTTCGTTAGTGTGAATCTATAATCACAGGAGTTACACAGACTTGTGGTGTCAAAATAATGTTGGTGTCCATATGGCAGTGAACATGTTCAATAATAAGTTTAGTTAACATACAGTATGGTACATACCAACCATAGGCTTAGCCAGCGAGCCGTCTTTTGGATGGCCTACAATTATTTAGGACGGCCACTTTTACTGTGACGACTTAGACGGCTTGTCCTAATCAGCTCGGCCTAGCCTAATTTGGCCTGGTCTACCTTTAGCAAATTCTTTATATTCTTCAAATCTATCAAATGTTACATTAAACTAAAGCTAAATCATATTTACGTTTGATAAAAACAACATTTATTGATTGAATGTACATTGTTTTCGTACCAACATTCGGTGGGGATTCCCAAAGATGGGGTGGCGTTTTTCTCGCTAAACCCCTGATTACCAACTGAAAAATTATGCAAAATAGAGTATAAAAATTGGGTTATTTATATTTGATATGCTTAAAAATGCTTCCATTAAGACTGTAGGACAAGCATATTTCATATATATCCCCACTGAAACCCGTATTTAGACTTAATAGTGTAAGCCGTCCCATAAGTACCCATAAAAGTGGGTTAGCCTTAAACATTAGCGTAGAGTCCACTTGGTTGAACATCCTGGATGGGTCGTGTGCCCTAGGCTTCTCTTCTCTATTCTCCTGTATGAAATTTCTACTTGAGTGGATGCCGTTGTTCAAGGGTAGGACCGTAGGTAGCCTTTCTCCTCTGGATCTGTGTATGTTCCTGGGTATATTGAGTATAGGGTATATTGTTTCCATTAGTTTATTCTAACCATTATTTGCTTATAATAATAAATGCAACTGCTTTTAATAGGTCTAATAATACAATCTACAGTTATTAGTACACCCTTTATTACAAGACTATGTATTATTACAAGACTATGTAGTATCAGAAAGAGGTATTTACACATATTTATTGAATACTCACCTTTTATTAATGATAGGACTTAAAATACTATCTATTTCATATACTCGGTGAGTAGATATTGGAATTTGTACAGCCTGTATCAGTGCCAATATCTACCGCTGAATTTTTTTTTCATTTGCTGTACTGCATAGGATAGGTTCTCAACAGTAATTGTTTTATATATTATATATTTGATGTTTTTCACAAACAATTCCAAAGTGTGATATGTGATCATTTTCCAAATTTTATTTTGATGTATACCTTGATTTACGTCTTTATACATGTAATTGATATTATTCAGGTAAGCTTTTCCTTGAAATTGTCTTTGATGTAGAATTGTAATTTTAATAGTTGCTTTAGGTTGTTTGTTCAAAAAGAAGTGAAATAGTGACTAGGTTCATATATATATATATATAAATTAACACTTTGTTTATTATGTTCTAGAGATTCAGATATTATTCACAGAAATTTAATTCATTAGGTAAAAGATTAAAAACTACAGTAATTTAATAAGGGACTCATCTTTGTTATCATTAAGGCCTATTTATACAGAGCACATTACACTACCTATTTTATTTTTTTTACGGTGAATGCAAAACAAGTGACATGTTGCTGAGCATGTATAGTATACTACAGAAAACCAGAAAAATTGGTTATACAGTGTGACAACAGTTGTCACACTGTATAATTGGATTGAACTTGCAACAGAATGTCTGTGTAATTATGCCTTAAAGTTATAGTAATTTAATGAATGAATCAGCAGTATAACTGGTACAGTAATATTATTACCAAAATATCACTCCTACCTGCACCACCTTTGTTGGAAATTTATTACTGTGTTTTTTTGCTTCCACTTCAGATTTTTTTTAGTATATTAAGGTTAGGGGTGATAATTTATATATTCTTTATAGGTTCATAAAAAATTAACCATAAAAATCCTTTATATGAGTTGTAACAATGATGGTATGGTTACGGTATAAAACGTTCTTAATTTGAATAAAATTTCTTTAATCTTAAGTTTAAAAGATATGGGAAAATAAATTCCCATATTTTAGGAGAGATCATTTACCACAAAAAAGGACTGTTTATTGTATGTTGGTTGTTTAAATGTTATATTTGAGTTTTTACTGGGATCAAATGCTAACGCCATTATAGTTTGATTTGAAAGTATGATTGCTGTGGACATAATTATATTTGATTGAATACAGTACAGTATATCAATTTTGCCTTAAATTATCAAGTGTAAATTTTGTAGTTTCCTTACACAGTTGTATTTTTGAGAAAATCAGATACTAGCCCCTTTCAATTACATGTTGTGCAATTGTGGAAAAAACTTGCTTTCTGAGAGATGTTGGTCAATATATCTTGTAAACATTGTACAGTATTGCAGTATTGAATATTTTATATGGACATTAAATATTGTACAAAGAAAATCAAATAAAAAATTAAAAAAAACCAGGAAAATTTGATTCTTATGTTTGTGATCTTTATTTGCTTTTGGTTTTTGAGAGATTTAGGTTAATATATCTTGTAAACATGACATTAAATATTGTACAAAGAAAATAAAATTTAAAAAAAGAACATGAAAATTTGATTCTCGTGTTTGTGATCTACAGTACAGTATATATATTTTTTTCTATGAAACAAGGTTAGTTCCAACTAGAAAGGTATGTTTGAGTATTAATGATATAGGAACAATACCTGCTTATTGACTTTCTAAACTAAATGACTGTTCTTTAAAGGTTATCAATTAAACACAATGGCTTTTATACAATTGATTGACATTTGACATTTCAAAAGTCACTTTGTTTACATAAGCAGTACATTACCACTTGCATTGATGTGTTAAGTGTCTTAGTGAAAAGAATACCAATATTTTTAAAATACACAAAACAGAAATAAGATGTTTGTCAAATTTGGTCATGTCACTCTTCAGCTATCTAAATGAGGATGCCAATCTCTAATAGAACATTTCTTGATGTATTTTGATTTCAACATCCAATATTTGATCCTAAAACTCCCCAGTTTTATCTGAAAAATATAAATTAATATTATTTGAGCAAAAGTTATTACAGTAATGTTTATTAACATGCAGCTTTTATGTAAATTATGTAATTCTGCATGTGCCAGCATGCCTGATGTAGCACAGAAACTAAGGTAAGTCTTACATTTTAGCCTTTGGGAAGGACAATGGGCTGGAGAGAACAACTAGTTAGAGGGCTAGGGAGTCACCACTCAGTGCTCAGTGCTGGTAAACAGAGTGGTTGATGCTGGCTTGTTTCAAGCATATTTACTTAAATAGACAATTTTTTCAGGTTTCTTCTTTTTTACTAATTATTTTTCTCAGGCACCTTGAGCATTTATTTAAAATGGAGATGTGCACTACAGAAATCTTATATTATTATTTATACTATTCATTAATATTGTTGTTTTTCATCCTCCTTTTGTTTCTTGTTATTAGAACATCTATCTGTTGACCTCACTTGCAACGCAGTCGGATGCCAGACAGGCTTTGATAAAACCTTAGATCCCTTTTCCCAATAACTGGGCACACATCTTATGATCTTAAACTGTGCCTCAACTATTCATTACTGCAAGATATATCCATTACAGTTTGAACATATGTTATAATATTTGACAGAAATTGTTTTGATAATCATGTGCTGTGAATAAAGCTATGTTATTAAGAGTTTTGCTATTTGAGATGCTAAGTACAATAGAAAATGCCATTGGGCTAAATGATCGGATAATGAGTAGTTTTAACTTCATGACAAGCTCTATCAATCATATCACATCTACACATGAAAAAGCTCTCTGACACTACTTTACTCTCATTAATTCTAATTGCAGTTAGGGTTAAGAACACCATGGTAAATTGGTTTTATGACAGAATTTATTTTACTCACCGCTTTCTTCGATCTTCTTTCTTTGCCATGTTGCCTCAAGGCCTTTCACAAATTTCTCGAAAACTTCAACGCTGTCGGCCATACTTGTTATTTTGTAGTCTGCAAGGAATTTAAACATTCAAATAAATAAATCATACCTAAAATCCAGTGGACAGCAGGTAGAATGCCTATTCATTCATATGGAATTTTTTGTGATGATTAGTGAGGGTGCACTCCAAACCTCAGCTTAAGGGAGTTATAACAAGTAGGTTAGAGTTACACTTTGTAAAAATGCTTTCCTTCAAATTTTAATGTTGTGGTTTTAAATCTTGGACCAATATGAATGTTTGTTATATTATTTAATTTGTTATTCCTTCTGTGATTTGATTGGATACATATTTAATTGTTGTTTTCTTTTTAAATTATTTTAAAGTTAATTAACTTTCCAGGTTCCACCCCTGGTTTTAATAGAGATTTTCCCAGATTCTACAATTTTTATATATTTGAAATACTAGTTGGATTGAACAAATTGTATTGTGTGATTGTGAAGACCATAGTATACAAATACAACAAATAAGGACATACTGTTTTAATTTGAGCTCATAATTATATAATTAAATTGTCTACTTTGTGTATATGCCTACAATGAGTATATATTTTGCTTGACAATTATCACTTCCTATATAATTTACATTGACCATTAAATTAGATATAGTAGGATTGTCATAGTAAAAATGAAAAATGAATATCTGATTATTTTGTCAGATAAGAATATTTTTTTTTTATGGACTAGAAAATAGAGATTTTATGGACTACAAAATGTTTGTTATTGCCAATCCCTAAAATTGTGGCCATATCCTAAACCAAAAAATCTCTTCATAAGGAATTTAATTCTGGGACAGCCCTTTGGTTCAGACCCCCAACTTTTAGCACCATCACTGAATGCACTACAAACCAATTTCATTTATAGTTTATTTTAACATTCTCATCAGGAACCCATTTATAAATGTCAGGGGAAGAAATAAAACGTAAGTGTTATACGCATAAGCAGTTCAACTTGTGAGTAGAATAAAATCAATCTCCTAGCAGTTGAAGATTAAAACTTTAACACCAAGCTGTCTGCTTTTAAGGCTTTTGATGATAATTGATCACAGAGATCCTACTCAAAGATTCAATACAGCAGTCTTTGTTCGAAGGCAATTTCCATCTTCCAATTTAGTAACGTTTTTATCTCCTCTATCATGGCTTTTGCCTGATTTATCACCGCAATATAGTCACAAGTTTTACGACAATTTCTAATGAGCAATAAATCCCAGAAACCTAGTTATTGGACTGACCTTTCACCTTTGTTTGTTTCGTTGCATCTTCACCTGCACTTTGCATTTCTTTAAATTTCTGGTTTATTTCATCGTTTAATTCGCTGAAAGTAGAGAAAATAATTGTATTGTAATCATTTACAGGCATATATGTATATAAGAATAGTTTATTACAACAATGGGTAAAGTTACATATGTCCACCCTTTTCTTTGGTGTTTGTGTCAACTCCCTTATTTATTTTCCTGAATATTGTGGAAAAATGGCTACATTGTCCCACAGGTCAGTAGCGAGTAAATGGCAAGTCTACACACAAGTATCTAAAAATACTGATAAATTACAATTTTGCAACTACTTTGCCATTTTGCCACAAAATGCCTCGTACAGATGTGCAATAAACAAATGGAAATATTTATTTACACACATATAAAAATAAATATATTATAACCACCTGATAATAGGTACTGTCAATGGATTGAACTCATCCAGTTTATCAACATTCATTGGGACACAAACTCGACCAGTTTTTGGATGGACACAGAATGGGCTCTTGAGGAGATGGTTTACCCCAGTACTGACGTTGACATCCAACCGGGGGTAACAATACTGCATCTTGATCTCCTGAATACAGTGCTTCAGTTTATTATCCCTGGACTAAACAGACAGAAATGGAATTAAAATTGTAATGTCATGTCAATTAATACATAGTGCCACATTTTATGGCTTATATTCACCAAAATATAAAGAATATAATTAAATACAAAATAATCACATGGTGTATATGTTTATGTCTAGTATCTAATAACAAAATATATCAAAAAATTATTTAAATACAAAATGTGCTGTATCTTCCTCACATTTGCTAGGCCATCCTCAACCATTTCAACGATTCTATTCCATATTTCAGTTGGATCTGTCATTTGTAAAACTTCTTTGGCAATTTTAACCTTCAAAGGTAAACACAAATTAAGAAAAACAAATTTGATACATTACATATTAGGCTATGCTTATGTCACCCTTGCACTTTAACTACTCAAATTATTACCACAGTACTAAACTTCAACTCATTAGAAGGGGGTTCAAGATTTTTTTCATTTTTCATTTGAAGCTGTGCCATCTCCACACCAAATTATAATGCCTTTCTGTAGATGATGCTCTGCAAAATTAGACAAAATATATTTAAATGTATAAATGCTCCTCAACATTAGGTTTCCCACACCCACCTTGACAAAAATATTGATATTGAAAATGATATTTTATTGTTTATATTCACTTTAAATTATAAAAATAAACAAATTGTATGGTCATTGTTAATAAATAAATAGATCACTGTTCTCACTTCACTCCCAGATTTTCTAAATCCAAATTTAAATCTTTGTTGCTTCTCTGGTGTAGGTGGTATCTAAATGTGACTGGGTCTCACCTAGTAGTGTGGTGATGTGCCTACCAGGTTAAAACTGTTAAACCATGGAACACTGTTCTGGTCCGTGCTATATGAGTATTGCTCACCCAAGTGTTATGTTTATTTTTAAAAAGGATATTTTCATCTTGTATCAACTGTAGAACTTTCTTGAGGTTGTCCTTTCCATTAACGATTCCTTGATTCTCTATGGCATAATTATGAAAATACTTGTCGATGACTTTACTGGCCTCACTGAAATTTATTTAAATACATAAATATAATTTTACAATTTTCAATATGTTGAAGCTTTGAAACTTTGTGATACAATTTAGAAACATAAGAGCAGCTTAACTCAGTCAGCTAAACTGGTGGTAGCCACTGTGTGTGCGCTGAACCGTGGTTCAATTCCCATCGCTGCTCCCCCTTGTGTTTCAGCAGGAGGGCTGAAATACAAGTTACAATAGCGCACTGTCTTTTGGTCGGTGTGCATTCATGGCCCATGTGCACATTAAAGAATGCAGTACACTTCAGAAATGAGTAGGGGATTGTCTCTCTGTGTACTGCCCAATCACCACCAGAAGGACCCCACTGGAAATAAGTCTTTTCTAGATTTTCGTGGGCTATCCTTGGTGTTTACACCGAATAAATCCAATACTGTTCACATTAGTATCCTAATATTATAGACATATACAAACACAAAACTACTATCATAATTAGTTATCAGCACCTTTAGCATAATTTGTGTCGGATTTATTATCATCATCTTAGGGGTTTTAAATTACCATCCATCAACATCATAATTACCTTAACAATTATCACCACCACCAACATTTAATATCATAATTATAATGTTGAATCATCATTATCACCATTCTAATCACTGAAAAGCATAAGTTTTCCCCTTGAACGTTCTTTCACACACCTCTAACAATCACTCTGGCAGAAAGTACCCTTCAAGCTTGCCAACTTTTGACCACGTGGACCAAATAGAAACAAATAATGAAACTCATAAAAATGTAAGAGTTTTAAGACCTACCTCAAAGATGGATGGAGAGTATCAGATATGAGGTGGACTTTCTTTGTTTTGTTTTCACCTCCCTAATGAATAAATCACATTAGTAAAAAAAAAATTACAAATAGTACCTTGCAAAGGCCAACAGATTCAGTTTAGAATGGCACTATAAAATCATAGGGAGAGCTGAGTGGCCGAGCGGTAAGGCAGGGACGCCGCTAGCTACAGCCTCAACATCGGCATTGGTTCCAGCTGCTCCTCACCAATTGTTCAGTTGGTAGAACCAAGTCTTCTCAAATAAGGACTTAAAATGGAGGTCCTGCCTTTCGGAAGAGTAGGGGGTTACCCCGATGTTATGGTTCATTTCAGCCCCTGTCGTGGAATGATGTGAACTTGTAGCTACCATAAAGCGCCTCTTTACAGCTGCTAGGTAGTCACGGGACCACGCCCATACGCAATTCAGTACAATGACGCTGCAAGTTTTGGGTTATTTTCCTACCTTTACCTATTTATAGTGATAATATGACAACATTAAAATCATTCATACAGTATACTGAAGTAACAAACCTTGACAACACTCAGATACTCAGCAATAGCTGTCCTTGCATTCTGGGATAGCTTCCTTGCCGATGAATCTGCAACCCAACAATGAACACCACGGCGACCAGAATATACCCATAAAATGTGTTCAAAGCCAAAATCATCTGTCAAGCGAAATACAACTAATAGTCAATGATTACCAGCAAATTTAAGAGTCTATCCGGTATTATGTAGTCATCTGTTAATTATCTAGGAAAATTCAAACAACAACTTACAATCATATCACCATCATCATCAGCCTGTAAGGCCACTGCTGTCCGACGATTTCCTCAAACTCCTTTCTTGTCTATTCTTAACCAGATTTGCCCAGTTAACAAACAGCTTATTACTTAAATTTATAAAGCCATTCAATTATTGAATATTTGTTTAACAAGAAGTGATAATTTGCCTTTTCAATAATGATCCATTTAGATTGCTGTTCAGCAAATTTTTTTATGTGGAGCAGTCAGTACTCACACAAACTAGCTGTGTTGTAAACAAGTCTTGAGGTCTAAATCATTACAGTTATTGTACTGTAATGAAATTGTGAGGTAAAAGACAAATTGTCCCACTTACCGCGCAAAGCTCTGTTGACTACTTTAATAGCCATGGTCATAAGAGGCCAGCATTTGAGGCAGATATCTGCTCCCCTGAGAGAATGACGTAAAGAGATCTTTTAATTGATTTTCTATTAATTTTATGATTATGATGATGTATCAACACTATGCAGGGATACAGTTATGGTGGGCAGAAGGGCGGAGCCACCCTGCCTTGAAGTTTTCCACATCAGTGTAAAGACAATTTGATGGGCCTTCACCAAACCTTATTAACCCCTTTGCCCATCCTTAACATCCACTTTTATAATTTAGAGTTTACCAATGTTCTCACCCACATTCAAATGATCCAACCAACCCTGACTGAAATGTCAATTCTTGCCTTCCATATTATAAATGGTTTGTTGGTGATTTTTTACTGAATCCTTATTTTTTTTGGAACCTTGCAATTTCAAATTTTAACTGCTGGCTATGATTTTGTAAGTATACTAAAATATATCTTTAAATACTTCTATTATCACCATCAATATTATTATTATTGTTATTATTGTTATCATTATTATTACTATTATTATATTATTAAAAATGACCATTAATACTATTACCATTATACATACCATTATCACAAATTTTTATTTAACATTTATCACATTTATGAACAACTCTATGTTATGTACAACAAACATCTCAGAATTTATTATTTTGACAATACAGTTGACTTGTATATTGCATACTTGTATCATAATCAATGTCATTATTAAAATTCCTATTATACTTCACTTACTGACAACAATTCCTGACATCGTCATAGTCTGTCATATCAATGTCAAAAACAAGTTCCTTTTCTTGAGCTTGGAATGCTGCAGCCTTCACGGTCTTATGGTCCTTAGGCTGATGAAAACAAAACACAGTTTAACACTCATCATACCAGGCCTAGATTAATATTAGTGGACCCCTTTGAGGTAGGAGTCAAAATGTTCATTGTTTTTTGATAATATCAACATCAGTTCTCATTACAGCAATGAAGAAAAGCCTTATGTTCTGTTTTAAAACAGACATAGTAAAAGTCTAGTTATAGCTTACCCTGTGGGTATACACAGCTCCTATATCTATCTTGTATGGACAACATCTCTGAATTTCCTTCTCCATTTCTTGCTGATTGCTGAATGACTGGTAGCGAACATAGATATCATCTTTCAATGTAAAGGAGAACTCACGATGAGGGAAATATGTCTTTGGAACTAAATAAAGGAAAAAAGAAAAAGAAAATATACAGGTAGTAAAACATATAAAAAATATACAGATTGATAAAAATGGCATTAGATTCACTAGTAGTTTCTCCCCTTATTTAGAGAATTTGCCTGACTCAAGAGTACCAAATTCACTCACCATGAACATTATAAGTAGGCTGAATGCAGAAGAGGGGAGGGGACGGAATTTCTGTAACAAATTCCCCTTAGGCTTACAAATTAGTGGTGACGTATGAAAAAAAACTGGAAAAAAATAATTTTGTGTATTATTTTAGAAAAAAAAAAAACAAACACTAAATACATCACCCTAAAATCAAGAACTTTAACTGTAAACGCCCTTCATTGAGAAGATAACAATAGAAATACACATTTCCGTGGTTACGCTTGTATTAGATAGGGCAAATCATGCCCATTCGTGGACAACGAGTGTGCAGTGTCTGCCGATTGATGAATTACCTAATGCGAATTCACCAACTGATTAAAAGTTCAACCTGGTTTAACGAGCAATAACACTGTTATAACACACAACAGAGATAATGATCATAATCAATGTCTGTATTAAGCTTATGTAAAATCAGGGAAATAATTAATAGACAAGAAAACAACACGTCGTATAGGCCATAGCCACAGACCCTACATTATAGGGTCTGTATAGGCGAACAACTCGGGGAACAACTACATTCCTGAACCATCGCACATGTTCGTAAAAGTTACCATGTACAGAGATCAAGCCAGTCGGCTATTTTCAGCATTTGACATTCTTTCCATGTCTCCGATAACATTCCCGAATTGGTGGCATACAAAGACTTCGTCTCCAATAACATTCTTGAATTGGCGGCGTACAAAACTTTGTGTCTTTATTTTCCCAAGAGTATCATTGGACCCTACTTGTGGGAACGTTTCTCACTGAATTAATTGTTAAGGCAACTTAGAGCATCTCTGCTTTTCTTCATATAAGACAGATGCCCAGGCTATAAGCCTAGGATAGGCCTACGCTCTTGACCTAGGTCTAGTCTTCTCATTTCATTCATAGCACGCCCGCCTAGCTAGCCTCATAAAGCTAAAACAGCACGGACAGAACCAACTAGGCCTAGCTAGCTAGCCTAGCCCAGGGCCTAGGCCCTAGCCATACTTACTACAACCGTAGCTTAACCATCTATAGTATGGTCCAAAGGGAAACAGTCTTTTATAGTACGTAGACAATAGCTCTGGTAAATCATCGCTAGAATACTGTGTTACTTTGTTCTGTTCTCCTGGCATTATGATATCATTCACTGTAGGTAGATGGATAGGTATTTCGGTCACGTATTTTTGTTTTCCTCTACATTTGGTGCGACTCCTCGAAAATCATTGGCCGTATTCGACTGGTCGTTCTTCGTTAAAACAGGTAGTGGCTATTGCCGATTTGTCACTGCCGCAGTGCGAAAAAAAGCTGCTGTTTTCTATCGGCAGTGCCAAAAAGCTGCTGTTTTCTATCGGCACTGCCACAGTGCGAAAAACTGCTGTTAATTAATAGAATCGATGTATTTATCGATAGATATGGTATCAATAATTGATTAGGTCTAGCCTAGCCTATATTATTGTTAACATTATATTATATATGTTTTACAATTAATAATTATAATTATTTCTAATTAAATTTTTAAATATATACATTATATATTAGGCCTAGGAATATATTCATGTATACATAAAACAACAACAATAATAATAATATTAATAATAATAATAACAACAATAATATAATAATTATAATAATTTTACGATAGTTTGATTAATGAGATAATAATAATCAGCATATTAAATAAAATTACGTCCATGCAAAACCTGCTTTTAAATGAAAATGTTATCTACCGTATTGTATTTGATTCTGTTCTAAAAAATAATCTTATAAATTATAAGTTTATAATAATATTATTATTAATAATAATAATAAAGGTGCTCGAATAATGCTTTAATAAAGAATTAATAATACTTCATACTTCAATAGGCCTATTTACGATAGTGTGATTAATGAGACAGTTGTTAATTAATTTATAGAAATATATAATTGGTATATACTATTAATAATGATTCAGCATTATTAAATCAATTAAAAAATTAGTGACGCCGGGGCAATAGTTGATAGTAAATAACAGTACAATGAATTATCCACATTGAATGCAGGGACCTATCTCTAGTAATATACTAAAAATACAAATTATAATTCGGGACAAATAATTATCTTTACATGATATGACCCATGTCATGTGTACATCGTGAACTCAAGCGGTAAAGTAGGACGTACCGTCCCGATTCAAGGAATGACGCAGGGACCCGGCCGTATTGATAATAATTAATAATGGCTACGATGAATTTTCATTTTAAACATCTTACTTCAATCTATTATATTGTGTATGATGATGGTGATCAGGCATACAGATTTCAAGAAAAACACAAAAACAGCATGGTGATTAATCCTGGTGCTTTCTAAGACGGAGTCGACGTTAAGGTAAATAAATTTCGGGGAAAAAACTGTTCCAAAGGCATGTTTGCATACATTTTTATATCATTTGAAACATCTTACTTGAATCTACTATACTGTGTATGATGATGGTGATCAGGCATACAGATTTCAAGTAAAATACAAAAACAGCGTGGTGTCCCTGTGCATTTTTGCATACGTATTTGTGACATAGTTTTATGTACTTATTAAAACATTGATACAAACCAAAGTTGTCAGTTATTTCATTTGAAACCAGTGTCAGTATAATCTTAGGTAAGCATGTGGTTAACATAAGCAAGAATTTAGTCCAATGAAACTGTTTACATGCCCGTAGCCGGGGGGGGGTGTTTCTGGGCGTGAGGTCCACGGTCGAAGCCCCGGTGGCGTCGGCGAAACCACCAAAGCAAGGGGATTTTTGTGCTTTATGGGTCTAAATAATGCTTTAAAAGCAGATATTTTTGAAAAGGTCTTTGTCTGGATGGGTCTGCCGTGCATTAGTTTGGTTGGAGGACTTATTTGGGAAATTTGAAGAGGGAGGTTCGTCAAAAAAGAGGGGGGTTTGCTAGAAAAGGGGTTTCTCCCGAACCATAAAAGCCCCCCCCCCCCTGGATACGGGCCTGGTTTATCATCTTGATACCTTCCGACGAAAATTGACCCTACAGGCGTCACCACGGCGTCGCCACCGATCGATCTAATGTGACGTTGTTATGTGGGTGTTTTATAGATTATTGAGAATGGTAATATCACCGAAAAAAATAGATAAAATGACAGTTGAATGACCAACAATGACAACTGAAGACAATAGTTCGCCATTAGAAGATATTTATTATTTATTCGGAAAATTAATCTCAAAATCGAGTTTCCGTCCCCGACGTTGACAGTGACGTCGTATGATTTGTGTGCAATTTTTACCAATTAACCCCTAAAAAAATAGTTGAGCCATGTAGTACCTTGCAAATTAACCAGAAACCCGGTAGATTGTTTATTTGTAGCGTCCCTTCGCTGCCAAAAATAGTTTTTTGGCAGTTGCGTCCCCGGTGACATCATGAGGGCATGGTGAACGATTCTATTTTCCGCCTAACCACCATTCGTAATGTCCTTAAATAATCTTTTTTTCAATCAAATGAATTTAATAATTTCCCCTAAGAACCCCTCGATTTTCATCTATTTCCATAAGCGCCCCCTCAATTTCCACTCTGTTTTCATAAGCGCCCCGTTCGAATAAGTGCCCGTTTGAATAAGCGCCCCTCAGAAAGTGCAAAAAAAAAATATTTTAAGCGCCCGGACGCTTATTCGCGCGAGAACGGTAATGATAGTGATACTGTGTGAAAAGATATCTGAAAATATAGACATAAAAGCAGCACTAACGATACAGTTACTGAATTTGTTATTATATTTTCTTCAAGTTAGTCTTTCAATGGGCACCACTACTGCATTATGAGCACCACTACAGCAGGTGTTATTATAATTACTTCCTATAAATTACTCTAAAGTGGGTGCCACTGCATGCTGCATGTGTTATTATTTTATATATTAATCCTTAAATGGGCCAGTGATGGCGCCAGGACCGAATCGATTCTCACTTGGCTGGGGGCCAGGGGGCCAGGGGGCCACGGATATTTGATGAATTATGACGATTTTTTATTATTATTTGACAGGCATCGAGTTACTATAATATGATTTCATGTAGGCTATGTTTTCTAATGTTGACAACAGCTTCCAAAACCAAAACATTTTGAATAAAGCAAGAAACAAAGAGCATGCAATATAATTATCTAATTTATTTTCAAATCCTCATTCTTGAAAGTGAAATTCTATATTTTGGAAATTTTACATGAAATCTGTCAACCACGCTGTCATGGTCGAGGTTGCTTCACCCATCACGATGTATTCCAACCATCACGAGGCTATCTAAATGAGCATTTGTCTTAACAGAACGCAAATTATTTTTAATTAGTCTCTTTGAATTATTATTATTATTATTATTATTATTATTATTATTATTATTATTATTATTATTATTATTATATTATTATTATTATTATTATTATTGTTGTTGTTGTTGTTGTTGTTGTTGTTGTTGTTGTTGTTGTTGTATTGAGAAGTTAACACAAACAATATGGTGGCAAAACGAATATTACATGTAAATATTTTTTTTATTTGTTTGTTCCTCGACAAAATGTATCGTCTTCCCCGAGAGGGGGGCCCGCTGAAATGGGCACCACTAATGCATTATGGGCACCATTACTGCAGGTGTTTTTATATTTTATATATTAATCCTTAAATGGGCACTAGTACTGCGTTAAGGGCACTATTACTGCAGGTGTTGTTATCTTTTATATATTGATCATTAAATGGGCACCGCTATTGCATTACAGGCACCGCTATTGCAGGTGTTATAATATTTCATATATTTATACTTAAATGGCCACCAGTTCTGCATTATGGGCACCATTACTGCAGGTGTTGTTATATTTTATACATTAACCATTTAATATGGCCGCCGTTACTGCATTATGGGCACCGCTACTGCAGGTGTTATTATATTTTCTATAAGTTAGTATTCAAGTGGGTGCCACTACTGCATGTGTTATAATATTCTATATATGATCGTTAAACGGCCACCGCTACTGAAGTATGGGTACCATGAACCAATATTTCATTATGGGCACCATTACTGTAGGTGTTATAATATTTTATATATTAATCCTTAAATTTTTATAATATTTTATATATATTAATCCTGAAATGTGCTCCACTTCTGCATTATGGGCACCATTACTGCAGGTAATGTTATATTTTATATTTTATATATTAATCCTTCAATGGGCACCAGTACTGCATTGTGGGCACCGCTACTGCAGGTGTTTTTATATCTTATGTATTAATCATTAAATGGGCACTGAATCTGCATTATGGGCACCGCTACTGGAGGTGTTATTATATTTTCTATAGTTAGTATTTAAGTGGGTGCCACTACTGCAGGTGTTATATTGTATATATTAGTCCTTAAATACCCACCGCTATCGAATTATGGGCACCATTATTGCAGGTGTTATAACATTTTATATTTTAACACTTAAATTATATATTTATACTTAAATGGGCATTAGTTCTGCATTATGGGCACCATTACTGCAGGTGTTGTTATATTTTATATATTAATCCTAAAATGGGAACCGCTATTGCAGTGTGGGCACCGCTACTGCAGGTGTTATTATATTTTATATTATAAAATTATATTTAAATAGGCACCAGTACTGCATTATGAGCACCATTACTCCAGGTGATTTTATATTTTATATATTAATTATTTATATATTAATTATTATTATATCTTGACAACATTTCAAATTAGCTGTACTGCAACAAATTAAACTTGAATGTTGATAAAACAGAGTGTTGGAACACATCAAGTGTTGGCAAAAATGTAAAATAACAAAATAAATATAAATAATAAAGGTGTACACTTAAAAAGAGTTAATCACTGTAAACACCTTGGCATTGTACTTGATGAGCATCTTTCATGTTCAAAACAGGTATAACATGTACTTAAGAATAAAGTGCTGCCTGGCTTATATTATCTCAAATAATCTAGTAGACTTGTTGGGTGCAGTAAGCTAGAACTCCCATCAAGATAGGTTTCTTGTGATGTCTGTGGAAGGTGGTGTCACTATAATTGCATTGACTTTGAAAAAAGGCCAAGAGGTGACTATGTTTGTCTTATCTGTATAGCTGCAGTATGAATGATTAATCCAATAAGAAGATGACCTGGGTCAGGAGATATGCTGAATATCTATGATAGGAATATACAACATACAAATATATCTACCCATTATTTAAAAGTTTAATAACATACAGTATACAAATA